TGGCTATGCCACAGTGTAACCGTGTCTGAATTTCTTTTCTCATTTATAAACTCATTGTTTCTTAGTTTTATACGTTCAAAATGTCATAAACTATCTGAGTGCTTTCTGGTCTTCTGCATGCAGTCAGATAATCTATAATATTAATAATTTATGCATTTGAGGAAAAACATATTGGTTAAATATCGTTATCTGGCTAAACCACATAAATAGTTTTAAATATATTTGAAACTTTAAATTTCTGTGTCCAACAACTAATTACAGAGAGTAATGCACAAATATTGTTTGATATATAATCTACATAAGTAGTCGAAAATTGAGGATCCGTATCACTAGTGAGAACAAGAACAGTCAACATCTGCATTATACAAATAATGCTTTTGCATTTCAAAACATTACTAAAACATAAATGTCTGCGTAATTTAAGTTTACTACTGTCATGAATGTACATTTTGCCTAACAAAGCGCATGCTAATGCAAAGTTGTTTTGTTTTCAGAGTGATTATGTTGCATTACCATTAATTCATGTGTGCACTGTGACAAGATGTAATGGCGTATCATGTTGCTTTAATGTAATGAATCCAGTACTCCCAGCTCTTAAGTCGTGTTGCTGGAAATGATTACATAAAACAGAAATGACTGTGACTAAAACCCTTGCAAAGCTTTAGAACTCCTGCACATTATAAGAAGCTTTTTGGGGGGTTTAAAGTAACTTTGTGAAAATTTACTGAAGGCTTCCCTTGGTAATACTTTTACTCTTTCTGACTGTTTTTTGCATTCCACTGAAATTTGCATTATCTTTTAAGCATTGCAAGGGCTGTGCTATAATTTTGTGCAGATGTGTATGTTAAGTGAACATGATGTGCTTATTTGTTACATTTATGCTACTTTTCTTTCTTTATCTGGGTAAGATGGATGAAATTATGTATTAAATAAAAACATCAGTGATTTAGCCATGACCATTCTCCACAGGTCCTGTAAGACTGCAAAGATTGCTTTTAAAACTAAGGTGGTTGCAGAGGTTTCTGAATGTCCTCTAAACTGCAAAACCATAAAACTCAAAGTCTCTCAACCAGCTAAATTTCGCTCTGTTCTGACTCTCCTAAGACTCTGGCAGCTTTTGTCTGAGTTGCTGTGCCTTGAACAGAAAGTTCACCATTCACTCACTCGACATTTGAGGAAGTAAGGATAGTATATCTTACAAGAATGACCTCACTTCAGAAAAAACATCTCGTCTTTCCCATTTCCACTTGTTAATTTTTCTTGAGGTTTTATCTTTCTAGCACTTGAACTACTGCAACATGTTATTTAGTTCACATATGTAGCCAGGAAAATACTTGAAGGGCTTTCATTTTTGCACAGATCATTCATGTTCTTATATTGTGCAGCTGGAACTGTCATTTACAAACTGGGTAAGTGAGATATTTCAAAGATTGTAGTAAGATGGTTTAACATTACGTAGATCAAAATATGTAAATTAAGGGAAACCTCTTTTTCCCCCCTGTAGCCATATCCCAGTCTTATTACCGACTATATCCTTTTCTTCTGACCTTGAAATAATTCTCAAAGGAAGTTGTTGGGTTGCTTTTTTAATAAGGAAATATTTAACTTTGTTCTTAGCAATGACATTTAAAAATAGAAATGATCAATATAACGCGCCACTGTTCAGTCAGAGATTTGTGCTTTATATTGATTTTTTTATTCTTAGTGTCCTCAGGCTATATTCATTTGAATGAAAATGATACATTAAATATGTAACTAGATTTAACAGTATTTTCAAAAACTACATCTGTAATCCCTACGAAATTGCTTTTATTTGGAAATATTTTAATACATAGGTTTTACCAAAACCTAACCTAAAAAGGTGAGAATTTCCAAAATAGAAATACATTGTTTCTATTAAAGGTTATTTCTTTTGTGTGTAACAAGGCTGGGCCTTGTTACAGTGTTCTGTTCTGCCTATAATATACCTTGCAATTCTGAAATACTCGTATCCAAATGCCTGATTTTTAGAACTTTAATAATTCTGCTGAGATCGGTGGGGCTTCTCAGGTACTTAGACTGGAGCACATGTTTAAGCATCATCTTCAGGTGGAGCCAAAATTTTATTCTGAGTAACCATGTTAATTAATAAGTTATTTAAACAACTGTAATTGATAACATAAGGCCCAAACCTACTACCCTTGCCTAGATGAGGAATCCTTTTTAATATCAGATAAATACTTTCATTGGGATTTCCGGAGGGTGGGGGAGGCAGAGGAAGGAGCGAGGGGCGAAATAACTTTCATGAATAGTAATTGAGGGCTCAGGCACCTGGCTTGTGTCCTGTTTCGGGCTGGTTTTCTTTCCAGCAGCCTGCACGTAGTGCCGAGCATTCTGATTGCATTATCCACACGTTCGACAGTTTTGTACGTAATGCGGTCTTTTTGTATATCGGTGGCTGTTCCATGTGGTTGCACATATTAGCAGCGAAACCCACCCTTTATCGATTTACAAAGTGAATGCACTTCTGGAAAAACCTAATGGTGAAAAAAAGTTACTTGGAGGTATTGAGCTGAATGTCCATTTGAAGCGAAATAAAGCCAAGTACGTGAATGTCAGCAAACTTGTTTATAGGGGTGCGCAGTAAAGCATACATTATTTAGAAGGTTGAGTCATGAGGCTGGTCGGGTTTGTAGTGTTACATCTGGCATGTCAGTCAAAGCTGGGGCAGCTGCCGCCTGTCACTAGTGCTGTGGTGGGGCATTGTCCATCCATCAGCATTAGCAGCCAGCAGCCCCGGGGAGTTTTGTGAAGAGCACTTTGCCTATGCACATTTTCAGTATTATCACTGCAACCACTTTTAGGGCTCTTTTGAGACCAACAGAAGATGGTTTCATAGAAGGTCTGATATTTTTCGTATATAGGCTCTTAACAGACAAAATATTTGAGTAGTAGTAGTGTTTTCTTGTTAGTTTATGGAAAATAAAAATTTGTATTTAATACTATAAACAATTTTGCATCTGTTTTGATATTTACTTTGTTTCCAAACCACCTCAGACTACTTTAAAAAGTGATGTCAAAAGTTGAAATGCAGTCAATCAAAACAAAATTTAGTAAGTCCTGACATCATCAGCATCATCCACTGAATCCTTATTAATTTTTTTCTTCAAACATTGCCACATGAAAGATCTGTATGCATTAAGAAAAATAATGTGAAAACTAGATCTATCACTATTAAGTGCAAATATATGTGTTTGAGCTAACAGTACACTTAAATCATCATGCTTGCACTTGAATTCAGTAAAAAAGTAGAAGTCCTGACAGCCAGTTTTAATGGATGTCCTCCTTTTGATGAAATTAGTGGACGTTTTGGAGTGAAGATTTGCCCTTGCGCTCAAAGATGAATTTTGTGACTTACGGAAAGTTGGATATTGCTTTAATTACGTTCCTTCAATTTGTGTTTTCTCAAAAAGAAATTTAATTTTGTATTTCAGTGCGCAGAACTTTTTATCGCTCACCACCTGAAATAATGTCAGTTGGGTTCCTCAGGTTAAAAAAAAAAAAACAACACAGCAAAACAAAGAAACCCCCACTGTGTCTCCTGCCAAAAGAAATACTAGCCTCAGGTTTTGATAAAAGCACAGCTTTTTGAGGGGGGGAAAGGAGGATGAGTACTGGGGACTTTCGCTTTCTCATGGAGCTGGAATGTCTCCCACCACTCCCAAGTGCAGGCCATGAACGTGCTGGTCAGCACTTCTTTTGCAGCTTGTAGTTTACACCTGTTGTGAAGTAGGATAAGGACAGGAGGGAGGGATCTTTTTTAGGAATTTGGAAGGAACGTTTACTCGGACTCTGGAGGACAGGAACAATAATTCTGTCTGCTGTGGAGGAGAACACGCAAAAAGCCATGTCCCTCCCTCCAACAGTAAGGGACATGATAAAGCAAAGTGGAAGAGACTTATTCATGGTGAGATGCAGAGCAGGGCAGCAGGACAGATAAATGTTTACTGAGAAAGGGACAAATTGCTTTTAGTACAATGTGGCTCAGCTTCTATGAGCTGCATGCTCATTTTCATTGGTTTATATCCGTTAAAGACTTGCTTTGCATCTTTAAGTCCTTCAGTAAAATAAGGGCATTTATTCAGTGATAAATAAACATTGTCTAAGGCATCACGACTGCATGTGAGTTTTTGTCGTCTATTCTCTGTGCTTCTCAGGATATGTGCCAACATTACTGAACTAAAAATCTCAGTAAGTGTGTTCTGGGGGAGGGGGTTGTTTATTTTAAAGAAAAAGAGATCCCGCATCAAGACATTTTTATTTTAAAGTATTTCTTTTCAGCCTTTTTAGATGTCAGTCCAAATTTGTCTCAGTCTGCAATGTGTGTATGTATGTGACAATAGGGAAGGAAAGAGGGTGTTTGTGTTGTGTGACTACTTTGACTTGATCATTCCTTAGTTTCTGAAAAACTAATTGTTCTTAATCGTGAAGTTCATAGATAAGAGAAGTATTTTACATAAAGTTTTTCTTAATTTTGGTTAAAGATTATTTGTAGTAATTTAATATTTTAAATGTTAATTGTTGTTTTACTAAATTGCCATTCATTTTAATTTGAATGAGAGTGGCAATAAAAATGGCAGTATTATAGAACTCACGTATTTCTAGGGAACTTTCATGGTAAGTTAAATCTTTCAGTCATAATCAGATTTGGTTTTAGCATGACATAAATCATCGGTCTGAGAAGTGATTTACGTGTTGAAATTTTGCATCTAGTTTTGTAGCCTATTCCAGGAGATACGTGTATACAGATAGACTCAAAATTTCCATGTTTGTCTCGGATCAGTGATGAGTTGAGAGGTTATGAACTTGGGAATCTGTTTGTTCACTGTTCATATTTTTTATCAGGAACTTTGTTCATGCATCAATGCAAAAGTAATTAAAACCCCTAAGTATAGCAAAGGTTCAGTTCCCACTAAAGGATGTTACAAATCTCTCTCTGTGTCTTTGTTTGAACTTCCCAGGTTTTTATCTTTCATTGGAGGAAACGCAAATGACATAGGAAAATCAGATATGCAGCAAAAAGTAAACGCAGTAATTCAAAAGGAAGGACTGGAAGGCACAGCCAAAAGGCTAAATACAACGGTGCACACACTGCAGCTGATCATTGATGGTCTGACTCAGCCTGAAGGCTTTGACATCCGAACAGGTAAACCTTTGTTGTAATCTGTTTGCTTGTTCTGCATACCAGTTTTAAGCAGCACTTTTTCTTCTAAAGTCATATTGGATTTTCATGGACGTGTAACTCCATTTCTTTTCTCAGACAAGGTAAAGACTATATCGTAGTCAGATGTTTCTTTCCAGCTCAGTAGGTAAGGAGTGTGAATCCTGTCTTAAATCATGGCATTTTCGGCCATAGGAAGGGAAGTTGTATGGCTGTTAACAAATGAAATAGTTTCAATATGTTGATTCTATACTGATTAAATCTGTGTTGGCTCTCCATCACAGAGGGGAATGCTGAGACCAAGCTGAAACAGTAGTAATAAAGGTCTGTGGAGCAGTAGTGTAGTAGTGTGTAGTTCTGCTCTTTTGTTGCACTAGTTCCTGGAGACAAGTGTAATTGGAGCACATGGCTCATGACCTACCTTGGTTAAAACTTTGCAGTAGTGCTGAGCAGTTTGAGGTAGAGCGGAAGAAAGATGAGGTAAGCAAAACATCTGGAGATGCTGTTGTTTAATGAAACTTACAGCTGGATTCTTTTACAATAGCAAGAGATAAAAGTAGGCAGCAAAGATGCAGGCTTGTAATAACAAAAAATAAAATTACACTTTAAAAAAAAATAACACTTCTGTCCCCCTTTTTTGGGTTCATTAGTAGTTTCCTTGCAGATTTTATAAATATTTCCCGCTAGTGATATTGAAAATGTGTATTTTCTATCTCTCCATTTGTTCTGGCAGTCTCACATCTAAATTGCAGTAGGATAGACTATTAACATAAGAAGATATAAAAGCAAAAGAGAATCTTCAGTGGAAGTACTCATATTCTGCTGATCCAGTACATTCAGTATTACTGTAGACAGAATCCATGACTGGAACAGGCAGCCTAGTAGCCTAGTATAGCTGTAACTCGTTGTCTTTGCAAACTTGCTAGTGACTGTCAGCGAGGAAATGCATCATACCTAACAGGGCTCAGGCAGATTGAATGGTTTGTACTCTACCCTGATTCAAAAAATAATCTTGGTTGAAGATTTGATTCTGTTGTTGTTCCCAACGGTAGAGATGTGACGTTAGGGAATTACAGACAAAGAGTAGCTTTCCTATGTATCCTCTTAAATTTAATTGAAATTCTGTGTTGTTTATTTTTCGTGAATGATTTTAGTACAAAGGAAAGTGGAAATAATTATTTGGGGAAAGGGAAAGAATAGAATATTTCTATCATATTATTTTAAAAATCTTTTTCTAGCCTAGGTGTTGCAAGGCATTTCTTGCAAGAAATTGTCATTTTATCATTAAATTTGAACAGCTAATCAGGTAACTCTAATGAATCTGCCAGGACGGGGAGGGGGGGGAAAGGGTTTGCAAACATTTAAAAAGACTCCCATTATTCCTCTGAATCTTCTTATGCTCGTTGCCCTGAATGGCTGTTTAGTTGCTTTTTTCATTGAAGTGCCACTGCACGGTATAATGTTACAAAAGGATTAACCATTTGAGACTTGAGCAATTAGGTACATTCCTTCAGTAGAAAATTTGATGTCATTCAAAGCCTGTCGCTGCATTTGCCGGCTTGTGTACTCGATTGGGGTCTGATCCACAGCCTGGTGAAGTTACAGACTGATTGATTTCCGGTGCATTTTAGCTATAAACTTGTTCAGTCTCTATTTTATTTCTCGAAGGCAAATATAGGAAAATGGTTGCAATCCTGGTTTTATGATGCTCTGTGTGAAAATCTCAGTCCTATTATATCTTGGAACAGGTAAAACAGCAGTAGGAAAAGGTTGAAAGGGAGGTTGTTGAGATGGCTCAGAAGGGTTTTCTTCAGGAGTAGAAAGTGGTAAGCAAGTAACAAGAGAGTTTAAAAGATCCATCTGTGCCCTTAAATGCAGAATGTGAACTTTAATATATTGGGATATTACCTGTTATAAGCACGCATGTGTGATTTTTAAGTTGTCAGTGCAAAGAAGCAGTTAATCATGTGATGTCATGGTGCAGATGAACAGCAAGCCTAAGCACAGTGCACTGTTGACTTTTCTCTTTAGTATGTGATGAGTCTGAATATTCACCTTCCTGTATACAAATTTGTATAGGAATAGAATTTTATGTATAGTTTATATAGCTCGTGTAAGAGTCACCTCAAGTCTTTTCTTCCTAGCTCCAAGAAAATTTAAGGAATCTTTCAGTCACTAGCTAATATACTACACGCTTCTGATCCCCTTGTGATAGTTTCATACCACAGAGTTCACTGCACTTATTACTCCATTAGTCAGTGTCTTTTAAAGTGATTCATAAAATACAAGAATGAGTTGTTTATTACAGATGGGTCTTTATTTAAAAAACATAATGAAGCAGTATTTGGGACCTTAGAGCTACCTCGGGATGACTTCTTAATTAGAAACAATCAGCTAGAAACAACCCTTAGAAAATAATGCAAGCGTTTTCTCCAGTGTCTTATTTTTGTTTCTTGTTTCTTATAACAGATTTTGATAAACCTGACTTCAAGAGAAGCATAGTCTGCTTTGAAGACTTAAGTGTTGGTACTGTTCTGACTGGAAAAGTTGAAAACGCGACGCCATTTGGGGTTTTTGTTGATATTGGTGTGGGAAAAGCAGGTTTGATTCCAGTGCGAAATATAACAGAAGCAAAACTTTCTAAAGTGAAGAAGAGAAGAAGCCTGGGGTTAGGTCCTGGAGAAAGAGTAGAAGTTAAAGTGCTTAATGTCGATATTCCTCGATTAAGGATAACGTTGGATCTTATTCGTGTTTTATGAGAGGGTTTTTTATGAATGAGGCTTCATTTTAAAGCTTAAGTAATGTCAGCAAGGTTCTGGAGATTCAGGCATTTAATGAGAGCATTGAAAATGAACAAATTTTGAAACCTTCAGCCTTGCTTCTTTTTTTTTTTAATCTAACAGGTTTTCCACATTTCTTGAATCCTTTCTGTTAATAATTGTTGGAACAGTTTATTGGATTACCTCCAAGCAACCTTGTTGTTTTGTCTGCAGAGCAAATGAAATTCCAGTGGACTGTCAGACAGATCTCTTATCTGTTCCGTCTGTGCAAGATTTGCTGTCTCAATCTTTAGTCAGTACTGCACGAGCAGACACATCTACTGCTCGCCTTCAAAAAACAGCCATTCAGTTTGCCTGTTTTCTGGTTGAGAGTCTAAAAGAAGGTACCTAGTTGTAGGAAAAAAGTGATCTTTTTAAGTTAGTCGGTGATGACATCGCTTCAAAAGTAGACTGAAAAAAGAGCATCTGCTAATACTATTGATGGTTCAGAAATATTCAGCTTTAATTTATTTGAGCAACATTATTAGGAGGTCTGTTTACCTGTCTTATTATTGCTTGTTCAGTTATCATTGATTAACACGCTTGGATATACCTTGGGGTTTAAGGAATTTTGCTCAAAGGTGTCAAAAGACATTTATGTTGTTCTGTACTTGTGCAAAATAAAAACATTTCTGGCCATCTTTTCTCAGTGTACTGGTTCTACAAGTGATTTAACAGTCCTTTCTTTCCAACATGTGCTCCATCAGTAACACTTCAGCTTAAGGATGCAGCTTGCGAGGATGCACTTGTCTGACCTTCTGAATGGTATGCACTTCCCTGAGCTTTAATACCCGACTACAGCCCACGGCCTGATGTTGTTCCTGATTTAATAAAATGGTTCTAGTCTGTCTTGGACTCCTTTAACTTGACATTAATTTTTTTTCCATCTTTGAGATAATGTATTTTTCTCCCTGTTTTGAGTGGAGAACAATTTTTCAACACTTGTCTTCACACACTATGCTCATGAAGACATGATTCTCTATAAAAAACTTTTTGCTGTTTGTACATGCTTAAAAAGCTTTTCTAGACTTCTGTTTTAATAAGAATGCTCATTGTTTCCTGCTAGGAGTGCCTAGGTTTGTTTCTTCCACCTAGAGACTTTTTGTTTTGGTGGTGTTTCAAAGGGTTTACCAATTTGGCCAAGTTTGCAAAGGACCGGCGATGGTATAGTGGCAGAAGAGCCTCCAGCAACAGCAGATGTATGTGGCCTTTCCAGGGAATTTTTGGTGTATTGGATGTTTCTTCCTTTGAAGTCATCAAACTCACCTGTAAGTTGGCAGAAACTCCTGTCTTTAACAGATAAGCACAGACAACACCTATCGCGAGTGTCAAACTATCTTTGATGGCAAGGTTTCTAACCACAGATGTCCAAATAGCTGTTGGCACAGGGACTATATGGGACTATATATTACTTACAAAAAGGTTGGCATCATTTAATCTCCCAGCTCTGTGCTTTAATTTTCAAAATTAAGAGCTAGCTGTAGAGAGTGTATTTTGGAGATTATGGAATCATTTAGCAGATGGAAAAAAGGAGACAGATCTTACTAGCTTCACTGCATTTTGTCTACTGAAGAAAAAAAAGACGATTCTCTATGACGCAAAGGTCAGCACAGCTTGGAATCGTGTTTCTCCGGGCTTTTGAAATTTTCCTGTAATACATCTGCAAAGTAGATGTTGTTGGTATGAAATTAGAAACTGTGATACCATGTTACTGTCTTTGAAAACACAGATGCAAAGCAAACATGCTGAGATTATTTTTTCTTCTGCAAGCGATGCATTCACTGATAATGCTGCAGTATTTTCTGCTATCTCCATCAGTAGAATTATCTAAGTTCTGTTGAGCTTTATATATGATCTCTACAGTATCTAAGCAGTTAGCAAATAAACTAAATTTGCTTGGCCTTCTCTAAGAAGGAGATAAACTTGATTTTCTCCTGAAGCTCAATTCAATGGCTAAGATGAAGAGTATTTTCTCTTTTTGTACTATGTTGTTACCGAAATTCATTTTTTTAATCTTCAATATCATGAGGACTGTAGCATCTTCTGCATTTTTGTGTGTATCTCTTGGATGATCATAAAATTCTCTGAATGAAAGACATCTTCTTGAGACTGTTTTTCTCACTGTGAATTCTTGCTTACTCAGAGGACTGACCTACAAATCAACTTACATACTCATGAGCTAGTTTGGTTTCTCCTCAGCGGAACTCAGAAGCTTATTCTGTGGCATCATAGGGACTATGGGAAAATGTCACCTCTATCTCTTTGAATTTTTTTAATCACCCAGAACTCAGAAGCTTATTCTGTGGCATCACAGGGACTATGGGAAAATGTCATCTCTATCTCTTTGAATTTTTTTAATCACCCCAAAATGGGAAGTTTATGACTATTAATATCTTAAATGTCTGCAGCTCTGGAAATATAATCCCATTATTTGTCAGCTAATTCTGTGTCTTAACTACTTCCCACAAAAATATTTTCTCTTTGCAAGTTCTTTTTTTTTTTCTTTGCCTGAACAGCCATTATAACAGCCTAATGAGAGTCTAACAAGGATGAATATGTGTTGATATGACCTTCTCAGTTTTTGTCAGATCTTTGTCTGGAGATTTTAAAATCCTTTCTTCTTAATCAGTTTTCCTCTTGAACTCTTGTGGCTGTCAGATTTCTGACATCAAAGCATCAAGACAGTTTCCTCTAATTTATCTGCCCCTTTAGTTTCCGAACCAAGAAAAAATTACAAGCTGGGTACATTTTCCCATTTGAGATGCTCTTCACAATGCAGTCCAGTCTTTGGAACAAGTTCTGTAGTGCTTAATGGTGATGCCCCCAAGATTTAAAACAAACAAAAAAACCTGCTTCATGCTGATCTTACTTAAATGCTTCAAAGTACAGTTTCTCAGGGGAAGAATTAAGTATGAGTCTTCAAGTCTCACTAAAAATTCTACTTTTGCCTTAAGCTGTAGATTCCAAGGCACCTACTCACCGTTCCACCTCTCCACAAGAGCATCCAGCCCATTGATCTTAGCTGACAATCTGATTTTTTTAGTCCCACCCTCACTCAAATAGTCCGGTGTTGTGCAATCGCCTTCCTCCTATGCAGACCCATAAGAAGAGCTTCTAAAGATTTCCTGTGCTTTAGATGTTACACAAAGGAGAAGAATTCTGCTACCAAACAAGATGGCACTTGTATGCTTGGCTGCAGTAATGCAAATCAAGAGTTTAAAAGAAGCCATTTGTTTTGGTTTTATTCCTGCCCCAGGCAGTTTTAGACAGCATATATCAATTTTCCAGAAACTTGTCAACCTCAGGAATGATTTAGTATGCTGTTAAACATAATAAAATCAATAGGAAAACAAATAGAATTTCCATGAGGAGCAGACGGTTGGAGAAGCTTGTCCATATGGCATATAGACATGCTGGAATTTGAGGCTTTGTGGGGTACTTGCCTTAGAAAAACTGCATACCAAGCGAAGGTAATGCATAATTCAGGAGAACAAATAATCTAACAGCTTTGTAGTAGTGCGTCTTGAACTTGGTGTCTGTATTTATTTAACAACAAATACACTTAGAAACTCTATGCCTGGAAGCTACAAACCAAACATGAATCATATTTGCCTAATTTCAGAGCTTTATATAAGGAGCCTCACCCGCTCTGAAGTGAGCGCCAAGTTCTTGGTTCAGCCCAAATAGCACCTTTGCTTTTCTAGCCTTCCTGAGGGTAATTTATGGCTACTTGGCTTTGCTTAAGGACTACCAGTCCTGTAAGAAAGTGGAGGGAACCGGTTGGTTACGTCAGTCCATATTACTCTGTCACTCCCTTTTGTTCAAGGTTTCCTAAAGATCTGCGAGAGAGTTGGTGTGTCTCTGGGCGTACGTAAAAGGTAGGCAAGTCAGTAATTCCCCTCCTCCCCATTAGAGACCTTCTAGAGGCTTGAGAAGACCTTGGTTTACTAGTCCCAACTGTTCTTCACCCTCCTCAGAGACATGTAGAAGCTATAAATGTTTGGAAGTGTTTCATCTTCAGAAATCCTTATGAATCCGTACTCCATAAACCTTCACGAGTAACTGATATGTCTGCATTTTTTACAGCAAACCTTAGTGACTAGTTTTTAGAGAACTTTGGTTGCCTGTTTCTAGTTGAGCCTCTAAATGGTCCCTTCAGTGGATGTTGCAACAGTATGCTGGCTAGAAGAGTGCTGCTTATTCAAAGGTGTCTCTAGGAGCTTCCTTCTAATCCGTATTGGAACTTTGACTGGTTGGCTATTTTTCCAGACGGACATAAATGAGTCACTTGTGACAGGTCAACCTGTTCTCATAAAGTTTTTCTGCAGCTGATGGCAACTTCCAGAGAGCTAGAGTTGAATAGCAAATCAAAAGAAGTCTATGTATTGCACCACAGACTTTACTATAGCTTCTGCAACTCAATCAACAGTCAAATTTCTTCAGTCCAGGAGGGACCAGTGCTGGAGTATTGCTTCTGTGTGAGCTTGTACAACGGGGCTTGCTGCTGTTAATCGATCTGCTGGGTTTCATGCTGTTCCTATAGCTGTTAGGTCTCCTCTGGGCATGTTCTAGCTGCATCAAGAATCCTAAGAGATTCTCCACCCTTGGGAAGTGCGAGAGGACTGGTGGCCGTGCCCGGAGTGAAATGACTCATCCCACGGAGAATTTTAAGTCTAACCAAAAGTTCAGAGTAAAGCACGCAAATGTCATCTCACCTGCTCTCTGTCCCTGACTAGGAGCCAATAAGCTTTTGAAATTGGCCTGCTTACTCCTTGCTTTACTGGTTAGAGCTTTTACCTTATTCGGCTTCTTCTAGAATTGGGAGAAGATTAAGGCATGCTCAACACAGCAGTCCAAGTAATATCACTGGAAATTGTTGTTTGTTTGTTTGGTCTCCCTTTCTTGCCCTCCTCCACCAGGAGCAACAAAGAAGGGAACACTTAGT